AGGTGTAAATGTTACCATTAAGCAGATGGCCAAGATCGCTACGATTCACATATTTTATTATTACATCATTTTCACTGTGAGTGAAGTAGGCTTCTGCCTCTCTTCCTAGGTCATTATTTATCAGCATGCCATCCCTGTAAATGACTTTCTTATCGCCTGTATTTGTTTCTCTGTACCAAGAGATTGAGTAGTCATCAGTCAAGTTTACCACTTTACAGTAAAGATCAACTGGGCCTCCTTTATATAAAACACCACTTCCGAAAGAGACTCTATCAAATGATAGAGTGCCCTGGCCAGGAAGAACCAGGGCTAGACATATGATTCCGATACTGTACAACATATCCTATCAGTTTTCCAAAGTTTATCACTTAGTTGTTGAACCAATAGTGTTTTGGTACTAGGGTTAAAGCTACATTTCCTGATAGTATTTCACAAATAAAACATGAATAATAATATTTCCTGCTTTGAATTTTACATGCATAATTTGTTACTTTTGTCAGTATTATTTGCATTGTACCATTGTACTTTTTCATTAAATATTTATTATAGCCATCCTTCTATATACATGAGTCTTTAAATGGATGAATGCACCCATCAATCCTGGTAAACAGAATACCAAAAGGAAGTGAAGTTCTTTGAATTATGATGGGTTCAAATATATGTTTATCACTCTTGTTTTAGTGATAATTATATATACTATTTGATTAATTTCTTATCATTTCACTTGTTTTATTCTGACTTAATTTACAGAATAATACCATAAAACACCAGTAGTAAGAACATCACCTTTCATTCTCTTTTTACTTTTTAGTTTTTCTTCCTGTATAAATTAATTTAATTGATTTTTTTCACATGATGAATACTTCATTTTTCTTTTGCCTTTGTTTCTTAAAGTTCATGTTTTATTTTCATACAACACGGCTCTCCCGACTGTTGGTTTGATGATTTAACTTATTCACTTTCTGGTGGTTGTTAAAATTTACTCTGAATTTACTTTTAGAAAATTCCATGATTTAAATTTACCATCTTCTTTATTTAAAGTTTATTTTTTATAATATTTTTTTTTTACCATTTAACCACCATTCACTAATTTATTTATTAAAAAATGGAAAACAAAATTTCACCAACCAAAATACTAGTTTTCTCTAAGGAGCTGCATTCATAGACTTAAGATAGATAAACTCCTTGAATAGATTTTCTTTTTTAAATATTGAACTGTTGGTTTTTATTTTTCCCTTCAATTTTTTTTTACTCAAATCATATCCTTGTACATGCTCCTTATATTTTATTTCACTTCATTTATTTTGTCTTCAGAAAACATCCAAAATTCATGGACACAAGAAATACAAAGACAAATAAACACAAACAGACGAAACATTTATATTCATAAAAAAATACAACTCCAAGTTAAGTACCTGTAATTTGAATTTATTAAAAACTATACAGTGATTTTTATTAAGTTAACAGAATATTAAATATTTACAATTTAAAAAAATTAATATTCCCAGACTCCAGAGGGCAGTATAATATTTTAGTATAAGAATTATATGAGCAAATGACAGAAAAGTATTGAGATCAGTTGTAGCAAATGTGGTCATGCAAATCATAGTCCTGGTTAAACTATATTTTAAGGAGATGGTTTTATTTTAAAAAGACTTTAAATAGAAATTCAAATGTAATTGAATTCATATGATGATAGACCTAAGCAAGTTTTCATTTAACAAGATTCAGTCTAACTGGGTGAATTGGTTCCAAAGACACATTCCATATTAAACTAATTTGCAGGCACAAGGCTTTTGTTCTAAAAACCACGTCTCCTTGGGTGTACGGAGATGCCCCCCCCCCCCAAAAAAAGGGGAATGTATCAACTAAAGATTAATACATGAGATACCATAAAAAAGTAAAATTATATGATAATAGTAATAATGAACAAGATATCAGAAGGAGCGGCGCTAGCGGGGGGTCCAGGGGGGGCAAAGGAGCAGCCTCGTCGGGAACCTCTAGACTTCCCACTTGGACCCCCCTTTAGGGGAATTTCCAGCAAGGTCATCAGGGAAAAATGAAATCTCGACCGCTGAAAGTACAGTTTAGGTATGCCTTACCTAAGACAACTATAAAAATAGGAAACGACTCGAGATTTCCTCTGTTCTTCCATCCAGGCGATTCATTGTGTGTTGCATGCTTCTGAGTGCAAATCCAGTCAACCAAACACGGTTGCAGCCAATTGAAAGCTTACTGCGCATGCTCAGTTCATAATCACTAAACCATGTAAATGAAAACAACTATAGAATAGGCTACATATCGTAGCCGAAACGCCCCTAGGCCTATATAATGGCTAGGCCACACTGTAGGCCTAAACTAGGGCATAATTTAAGGCAGTATTGCATATTTATAGGTACAAACAGGTTTAGATAATATTTTGGTATATATATATGACTAATGGTTCATGAAATTAGAGAAAAGTGTATTTTATTAGCTGATGTTTCCAACATGCAATTGCTCAAAAAGCAGTAATTAATACGAAAATATGTCAATTGGATGTATGTACATATTTTCTGTTGTGGTAAATGACTTCAGGACATATATGTGCTTATAAGTGTGTGTAAACTGTATTATGGATTTAGTGTGTTTCTTCAATTCAGGCATTTTACCGAGTGTCGGGACCCGGTTAGGCCTAGCCCTGGACGGCTGAGGGTAGGGGTTGCCGAATTACTAGCCTATTGTAGCCTTATGTACGCATACCATAAATTTTAGAAATTTAAACTGCAATATATGTGTTTATGTACCTTACCTTTCAAAGAAATTGCAAAAGTAAAAAGATTAAATATTTTTTTAAAATATTATACGTCCGATACCACCACGAAAATATCTGCTTGTCTCATGTGTTGAAGTTGGCCGCTTGCGGTTCGAACAACCTTATTTGCATATCAGTGAAACACAAGACATCACAAACTAGAGAACGATAGAATCCAGTCACGTTTCCAATCTCCTTGTATAGTTGTCTCAGGCCTTACTAAGCTTTCAAATTTTAGGGATTAAAGACTTTTAGTGCGAGCAGTGCACAGGGGCCTCTTAACTTGCTTGGTTTCTATCAAACTATCGTTTTTTAATAAAGAATACCATTATCAACACAATTTTTTTACATGTGTATAAGAGACAGACACAATTTTTTTACCTGACCGGGGGTGGGGGGGTGAGTAGGGTAGGCTTTCCCGATAGTGGGTGGGGGGTGGGTTGTGGTGCCCTTGTTGCAAAGCTTGGACCCCTTGTCGGGGAGCTGGACACCTCGTCAGGGAATTCCTGGCGCTGCCCCTGGATATCAGAAAAATATTATTCTCACTTGTAAACTGTAACACATGCAAAGTATTTGCAGGCCAGTGATACTCTAGGTTCCATTAAATTTGATTGGTTAAAAGTGTTAATTAAAATTGAAAGCCAACCCAACTCTGGTGTAGCGTGCCACCATTTACTTGTGTTCGAATTCATTGTTTTCTTTGGAAATTTGATTCATGTACTGTAGATTTGTTAGAACAGTTATATTTACTGATGTTGGAGTCCTGCAATGATGCTTCCTATTGGTCCTACAGGTCTACATTCCCGAATTTAAATTATTGCTAAATCATACAATTTGGCAGTGGATTTTTTGAAATTACCGGTATTATGTAATCAGCTGAGCCTGGTACAGTGGTCTTCATTGCCAACCCTTCTTTGTCCTCTTTACATTGAGTGTTGTGTAACTCTGTAGTCCATGCGATTATTATTATTATTAGTCAATTTGTCCATTGATTGAATAACGCTTTTGTATCATTGGCACACCTTTATTGTGTAACCTTAAAGCGACTAGAAAATAATTATTTGATACGGAAAACACAAAATAAAAAATATTTAATGTGTTATGCCTTATGAAGTATAATAAATAAATCATTGGGAAAATTAGGAGGAAAAATACATAAAAAAAAAACTAGGGGAAGGATAGCAGGGGGATAAATTCCCTGGTGGAAAAAATCTGTGGGGAAAATTAACGGATGGCAAGTAGGCGTAGTGTATTTTCTATAGCCAAATAGATTTTACTGAACTGAAGTTTTTCCCAGCCTTTTCCAGTATAGCTTAACTAACTTAAGCTTTGGCATTCGTTGATACTAGTATAACATTTTTTAAAATCTCAGTGGGCTGCCCCTACTGAAAGACAAGCTTGTGTACAAACCTAACATGCACATTTTCATCTTTTTTACAATAGGAGCCATGGTCACAAACGTGATCATTCCTTAAAATTAAATTAAAATTTAAAAGTAAATAGACATTTTGAAAACAAGGACACAAAACTGTTTTAGTCAAAGTACAGAAATTTCTCTTTGGGAACAATAGTAACTAATACAAAAAAAATTCATTTTATTTATAATAATTATTTAAAATTAATATTAGAAAATTCAAGATCAAATACTGTACATAAAAAAAAAAAAACAATTTTCTGTTATTTTGACTTTTTGAACATTTTGTTTTTTGTTATTGTTATTTTAGTATTTATATAGCGCCTATTCCTTTACGTTACAAAGAGCTTTGTTGTCATTAGCTCCACATGCTTAAGTGTTGCTGCCATTTTGGTGTAGCACTGAGGCAACCCCACCAGGTACCAATTTATACTCCTGAGTGGAGAGAAGCAATGCAGATAAAGTGCTAGACACAAGTGAAATGTACAGTGAGGGATTTGAAACCTCAACCTCAAGGTTGGGAAACCAAACTTTTTTCATTTCACCAAACCACTTCCAAAAATAATGCACTATAACAACATCACTAGCAGTTTCTAATAGAAAGTAAAATGCTGCGAGTATGCAATTCATGTAAATACTAATAGATACTTCAGTACTAAAAGGGTGTACTGATTTTTAGTTTTAGTATTAAAGGTTGATAGAAATGTATGATTTGGTGGCTTATAAGAATGGATTTCAAAATTTTGTTTACAATGCTACAAAACAACATAATAATATACTTATAGACGATCTTGTTTTATTGTTAACCACAATATGCTTCACAGTACAACATTATTAAATATTTGGAAAAATGAATATAACACACAATGTTTATTTAAATACAGAAAGATTTGGAATCTGAATTTATAGTAAATAGATTATAGCACTCTGTGAAGCTTACATGGTTGTTTGTGCTTATTAAACCATAAAATTCTTGAGTCAAAAATCAGATAGTATCAGATCTCTTTTAAAAGTAAACATACTTCATTATCCGAGGATGCTATTTATACTTCAACATGAATAGTCTTTTCTGTTTCTTTTGTGATAGTTTGCATTCCACAACTTAACCCCAAGACCTTCCAATTGCTGTTCAGATACTCTACCAACTGAGGTATATACAGTGACTGTGTATCACCCACTGGACAACATTGCCTGTCTCTGTTTTTATTTGTAGTATTTTTTTACATTTGCCAATTCTGTGTTTAAATATAGGTATAGTATTTCTGAATATTCTAAAACTGTACATAAATATTCCAATTCAGTAAACAAAATGCAACTGAAACATACACAAAGAGCCTGAAAATTTAAACACAATTTGCTTCCATTTCTTTACTGCCAAAAATCAAATGTTTAGATAACAATGCAATATTCGATATCACTTTTGTAATAGTGCAAGTTAACATCAAAAATTTAAAATCTAATTTAATAAAACTATAATTACAATTACAATTAGGCTTTCAAAATTCAAAGGTGTAACGTATTATACATAACTTTTTATACTACTACTAATTATTATAACTTGATTTATATTATCTTTAATAAGGCAGGGGTCCCAAGTTGAAAGAAGTCATTTCCGGGAGATCCACAGTGGCTGATCCAGGATTTTAAATAGAGGAGGGGGCAGGAAGGGACTTTCACAGATGTAAGGTTAGCCACCACCTCGTTTGGGACTAAGATATAAAGAATTTGATTATGGCACCTCTAGATGGTCAGAAATGATACTCTGATACACACATTTTAAAATTTTTTTTCCCATTTCATTCATAACTCCAAAAAATATGTAGCAGCCCAGCCCACTAATAATAAACTGTAAAAACAATGTGAAGGGTTCAAACGCGAAGCTCCATTCAATCCCGCACTGCATTGGGCAAATAGTAATGAAGCCAAACGTACCCACACACGGTCCAATAATCTTGATATATCAAACACCTAAGCTCTTCCAGTGCAAGCATGTGAAGAATCTATACTCAGTTGTGAAGAGCATCACCAAAAGCAGGACAAACCTGCAAAGAAACCTGCGATCATCTCCCACCCTAGTTCTACAGCATAGTATCCGGTACAGTGTACATCCATAAAATAATTCACAATAATTGAAAGTTTTAGTTTAAAACCAATTAACATAATTTTTTTTTTAGAATCTTACATTATAAAACGCCTTTCACAATCCAAAAATTAAACAAGATGCTGGCATCATTATTTCCCAATTGTCACTGGTTATTAAGTCGGCCCACCAACGCATTTTTGTGCAAATTTCCCGGCTCCCTTGGGAGCATTCCTAGTCATGCTGCTTTGCACGCACAACTCGCTACTATATCCCATCATAAATATAGTTTTCAACGATCACAGATTCTTCATTCAAAGCTTTTGTAGCCACATGTGGCATATTGTGAGTATCCTGTTGGTATTGATGTTTTGGTCGCTTTGTAACTTGTGCATATTCATTATTTGATGCATTATCAATTGTAAATTCACTTCTTGTGCTTTTATTTTGGTTCCTTCCTTCATCTGTAGATTGTTGATATGTGATATTTGGTCTTTGCTTTGTGTTTCTTCTCCTGTAAAAAATTACAACAATAAATAGACAAAAGGCCAAGAATAGAACAGCTCCAATGCTAGCCCCGATCACAATTGGTAGGCCTATTTCACTCGATGCAGGTTGCATCCCTGGATCAGGTGGAGAAGTTTTTTTGTCAGTCCAAAATGTAATAGTGCTTGATGACTGTGGTGCACATGCCTGCTCAGTTGATAAATTGCAGCTTTGTATTCCATTAGTACAAGAAAAGCTACTTTCTAAGTCATCTGATTTAAGAATAAATGTATAATTCAAGTATATGTAAGAATGAATCGGGATTGTTGTTAGGTTTTCAATGTCTTCTCCATTCTTAGACCATTGTAGTTGGACCGATGGATAACCAAGTTCAGAGTAACAAGAGATAGTGACACTTGATCCTGTCAAATTAGATGAAAATAGATCACATGATTCACAGATTGGATACAAAGATGAAGGAGAATAGTAAGCTACCAGGATGAGATCACTTGATACCAACACTACCTCACCTGTACTCTTATGAGTTACTTCACAGTTGTAATTGTTACCATTAAGCAGATGACCAAGATCACGACCTCTCACCTGTTTTATTCTTACATCACTTTCACTGTGGAGTGTGTAAGCTTCTGCCTCTCTACCTAGGTCATTATTTATCAGCACGCCATCCCTGTAAATAACTGTCCTATCACCGGTTATTGTTTCTCTATACCAAGAGATTGAGTAGTCATCAGTCAGGTTCACTACTGGACAGTTAAGATCAGCATCACCTCCTTCAACTATTATAGTAGATCCAATAGAAACACTACCAAAGGATGGAGTCCCCTGTGCAGGAAGAACCAGGGTTAAGCATATGATTCCAATACTGTACAACATATCCAAACTGTATACAAACAATGAAAACTGTGAAATTCCATATGCTTACATTCTACTATAGATATTTTGTGTGTGTGTGTAAAACAGTTTTCTGAAGCTCATCACTACTCGGTTACTGTGCCAAGAGTGTTGTACTAGTTTTTAAAGCTATATATTTCCTGTTAGCATTTCATAATTAAAGTGTGAATATTATATTTCCTGTTTCTAATTTTACATGCATGAAGTTGGTTACTTTTGTTGGTATTATTTGCATTGTACCTGTGACTCTTCCTTCATTGACTACATTATAGTCATCCTTCTATCCACACTAGTCATTCCATGGATGAATGCCCCCATCAATCACCGTAACCAGAAAACCAAAAGGAAGTATTAAGTTTGAATTATGAATAGGTTAAACTATATGAAGTATCACTCTTGATTTAGTGATAATTATACAAATCTATTTGATTAATTTCTTATCATTTCATCGTTTTATTGTGACTTAATTTACAGTATAGAACCAGAACCCTAGTAGTAATAATATCTCCCTCATACTACAATTAGAACACCGTAAAACCTTGAATTGAAGCCCAATGAGTGTAATCTCTGTAATTTGGAAAGAAGCCCATCTGGAATTGAAGGCCCCTCTTTAGCTTGCAAAACTAGTCTCGAAAATAAGCCCATTTGTTGGACTATGGACTTCTTTTCAAGATAGCATATGCTTCTTTCTAGATACTACAGTACATCACTGTACATAAATTTTAAACAGTTTCAGTTTCAGAGTCACAACCAAGGCTGAATTATATGATATTTACAAAAAAAGAAGCAAATGTTAAAACATCAAAACATCAATCAAACACAAGCACAAGACATGAAAAATGGAGATAAAGTAACATTAAAATACATTAACATTTAAAACATCAGGAGTAAACAACAGGTTTAGAAAAATTATGTGTAAGAGAATCAATTATTTTTCATTATTAATTATTGAATCATTATTATAACTATTATTAGTTATTATATAATTATTGTTATCAAATATATACATTCAAGAAGGAAAAAAAAATCAAGCATTGCACAAAATTAAATTTCAATTAAAATTACATCACAATTGGAAAAGAAAAAGGCAACATGAAAAAAGGGTTATCACTTAGATTAAACAGAAATATAAAGTAAAGTGAATGTCATTTAAAATAGACCAACAACTCTGGGTATAATGTTAGTTGCCATGCATTTATTTAATTATTAATTTTGTTTTTTTATATACTGTAATAGTCATTTAAATAATAATTATTATTATTTATTAATAGTTAATATTAATATAATTACCAATAACAATTGCAGCAACAACTAATTAATAACTAACAATCAATATAATTAATTATTACTATTATTATTATTAGTATTATTAATTATTACTATTATTATTATTTTATTATTATTATTATTAATTATTTTTTTTACAAAGATAATTACATATCAAAAATAGACACAAACTTTTTATTCATAAAATAACTCCAAGTAGAAAAAGTGATTAGAATTTATAATAAAAAAAAATTAAACAGTGATTGTTCCTCAAAGAAAATATATAACATTAAGAAATTGAAAAAAAAAGTAATGTTATTCACCCAACTACAGAGGGCAGTATAATATTTTAGTATAAGGAGTATCTGAGCAAATAAAAGTAACTGATCAGCAACAGTGAATGTAGTCATGTAAATCATGGGCCGCAAAATTTTTTTTTCCTGGACATTTGAGGCAGTGGCAATTGGTTGCGCTATAGATTCAAAATACCACCTTCAGATTTGGCAATGAAATCATGAATGTTTATTAGTACAGTTGTTTCTTATTCTAGAGTGGTTTTGATACATGGCGATTATGCGATGCGATAAGCAAGGCTCAAGCCAGGTACTGTGCACCCTCCAATTCGAGGAAACTTTTTAAAGACCTAAATTTTGAACAATCTTCAATTTTTTAACACAAATCTAGCCCTCTAATTGTCAACAATTTTTATCTTGCTACTATATCCCATCATAAATAACATTTTCAGTGATCCCAGATTCTACAGAATCTCTCTTCATATCTTCATTCAAAGATTTTGTAGCTGAACGAGGCAGATTTTGAGAATCCTGTTGGTGCTGATGTTTTGGTCGCTTTGTAACTTGTGCATATTCATTATTTGATGCATTATCAATTGTAAATTCACTTCTGGTGTTTTTCTCTTGTGTTCTTCCTTCATCTGTAGATTGTTGATATGTGATATTTGGTCTTTGCTTTGTGTTTCTTCGCCTGTAATAACATACAACAATAAATAGACAAAAGGCTAAGAACAGAACAGCTCCAATGCTAGCCCCAATCACAATTGGTAGGCCTAAATTACTGGACGCAGGTGCACAGGCTTTGTCAGGTGCTAAATTGCAGCTTTGTATGCCATTAGTACAAGTAAAGTTACTTTCAAAGTCACTTGCTTCAAGAATAAATGTATAATTCAAGTATATGTAAGAATAAATTGTAACTGGCATTAGGTTTTCAATTGCTTCTCCATTCCTTGACCATTGTAGTTGGACTGATGGATTACCAAGTTCAGAGTAACAAGAGATAGAGACACTTGATCCTGTCAAATTTGATGAAAAGCCACATGATTCACAGATTGGATACAAAGAGGATGGAGAATATAGAGCTACCAGGATGAGACCACTTGAGACTAGCACTGCCTCACCTTTGCTCTTAAGAATTACTTCACAGGTGTAATTGTTACCATTAAGCAGATGACCAAGATCACGACCTCTCACCTGTCTTATATTTACATCATTTTCGCTGTGGAGTTTGTACGCTTCTGCCTCTCTACCTAGATCATTATTTATCAGCATACCATCCCTGTAAATAACTGTCCTATCACCGGTTATTGTTTCTCTATACCAAGAGATTGAATAGTCATCAGTCAGGTTTACCACTTGGCATTTAAGATCAGCCTGTCCTCCTTCATATGTTATAGCAGATCCAATAGAAACACTACCAAACGATGGAGTACCCTGTGCAGGAAAAACCAGGGTTAAGCATATGATTCCAAAACTGTACAACATATCCAAACTGTATGAATACAATGAAAACTGAAATTTTGTATGCTTGGATGATAGATTTTTGTGTTGAAAACACTTTTCCAAAGCTCATCGCTAGTCGGTTACTGTGCCAAGGTGTTTTGTACTAGTTTTAAATTTATATATTTCCTGTTAGCATTCCATAATTAAAGTATGAATATAATATTTCCTGCTTTGAATATGACATGCATGAAGTTGGTCACTTTTGTTGGTTATTATTTGCATTGTGACTCCTTCATTGACTATTTATTATAGTCATCCTTCTATCCACACAAGTCATTCCATGGATGAGTGCACACATCAATCATGGTAACCAGAAAACCAAAAAGAAGTAAGTTAGAATTATGAATAGGTTAAAATATATGATGTATCACTCTTGAATTAGTGATAATTATACAAATCTATTTGATTGATTTCTTATCATTTCATTTGTTTTATTGTGACTTAATTTACAGTATAGAACCAGAACCCTACTAGTAACAACATCACCCTCATACTACGGACACCGTAAACCTTGAATTGAAGCTCAATGAGTGTAATCTTTGTAATTTAATCTCGAATTGAAGACCCCTGTTTAGCTTGCAAAACTAGCATTGAAAAGAAGCCTATGGACTTCTTTCCGAGATAGCATATGCTTCTTTTCTAGATAGTACAGTACATCATTGTACATAAATTTTAAACAGTTTCAGTTTCAGAGTCACAGCCAAGGCTGAATGATATGATATTTACAAAAAAAAAGTAGGCAAATATTAAAACATCAAAACATCAATCAAACACAAGCACAAGACATGAAAAATGGAGATAAAGTAAAATATGATTTGAAACATGAAGAACACAACAGGTTTAGAAAACATATGTGTAATAGAATCAATTATTTTCACTGTACATAAATTTTAAACAGTTATTAATTATTGAATCATTATTATAACTGTATTATTAGTTATTATATAATTATTGTTATCAAATATATAAATTCAAGAAGGAAAGAAAAAAAAATCATTAAGCATTGCACAAAATTTAATTTCAATTTAAATTACATCAAAATTGGAAAAGAAAAAGGCAATATTAAAAAAGATCTATCATTTAGATTAAACAGAAATAAAAGTAAAGTGAATGTCATTTAAAATGGACCAATAACTCTGGGTATAATGTTAGTTGCCATGAATTCTTTTAAATTATTATTTTCATTGTTATGTTATTTTCATATACACTACTAGTCATTTCAATAATAATATTTATTATTAATTAATAGTTAATATTAATATAATTACCAATAACAATTACAGCAACAACCAATTAGTAACTAACGACTTTTTATTTTTATTTATTTATTCATTCTGACATAATTATAAATAAAAACATTCAAGGATAAAAACACAGAAAAGTACAAAAAGCAACATATTTCCACTTTGGTCCCTAAAATTTTCACTGTGGTCCCTAAAATCAATATAATTAATATTTATTACAGTATCATCAATAATAATCATAATTACTATAATTTTAATTATTATTATTAACATTATTATAATAATAATAATAATAATAATAATAAGAATTATTATTATTATTATTATTATTATTATTATTATTATTATTGTTATTATTATTGTTTTTATATTTATTGCAGCTAAGCCAAAATAATTCATTTAAGATTGAAGTAAGAAATGGTATTGCACTTTTTCGATACCTTTTCAATCTACATTTTGTATGCTGATACCTCACTCTTCTAAGCTTCATATTGCTATCAGGGGTCCCAAGTCTTCTGGAACTCACAGGAGTGTCCCGGAAATTGGGACGGCGTCCCGCACTCACGCAGACAAGCAAGCCCTTTTTTGAATTGATTCAGTCATTTTGCTATGTTGTACAGTAAGACGTGATAATGCCAAACAGGTACGGCATACTCAACACTTGGTCTTGTGTAACACTTTATACACTTCAAGAAGGTCATGCTTTGGAAGACTGAACTTCCTTTAATCTGCATAAAATGTGCAGACAACTACTTGCTTTAGAAATTATTTCAAAGAAACAAGTAAATTAAAACATGCTTGAGTTTTGGTGATGTAATGCTAGTAAATACACTTTATGATACAGTTTGATGTTACAGTGGGCCTATTTATTGTTTTATTGTACTATTCCCAAAATTTACAGCATTCATTTTGAAAAGACTTAAGATCTCCTCTTAGTATGGTTTGCTCTGTCAGAAATTGGGCTCCAGTTATCTTTTATTCTTCTCTTACTTTGTAACATCCCTATTTTTTTCTTCATGCATTGTTTCTTTCATTTTATTTTATTTATTTTGTCATCAGAAATCATCAAATTCATGGACACAAGAAAATACAAAGATAATACATAACAAAAATAGACACAAACTTTTTATTCATAAAATAACTCCAAGTAAGTAGAAAAGTGATTAGAAAAAAAAATATACAGTGAGTGTTCATCAAAGAAA